TCGATCTCTAAGGTCCCTTCCAACCCAAACCAGTCTGTGTTTCTATGATTCTGTTAAATAGAGGAAAAGCTGTCCCTTAACTTCTGAGTCTTTATATGAGACCCTCAAGGCCAGATTCTTCCTGCTTGCTTGTGAGATACCAATCTCCTAAGCCTGTGGGAGGAGAGAGAAGAGGGTCAAGAAACCAGTTAAACCCATTAAAGATTTGCATCACCCTCTCCGTCAGCCACATCAGGAGCCCACGGGGACTTTTGCTCACCTCATGCCTGCAGTTCAGTGGCATGAGTGGGCACTGAGTTCTTGTTGGGTCCTCTGCTGAACGTTTCTTCCACAGTGCTTTGCTTCTCCCTCAGGGGGTGGTTTATGTTGTCTCAGTACAACCTGAGGACTGTAGTTGCACAGCATGTTACCTCTTTCCGGAGACTTTGGGGATAAATCGGTCTCCCGTCCTTATTGTATGCAAGCAGATGGCGCAGTGACCAATTCTGCTGCGAGCTGAAATTCCCTATGCTTTTTGGTTTGCAGGGATGGAAGATGGCGTGTTGATATCTCAAGTGCATTTAGAAAAATCTCTTTATTGTTCTCAAAAACAGACTTGAGAAGGAATGAGGCTTAATAGTATTCTCCAGCATGCAAGCACGGCCATGTGGGACATTGGTGGCGTGCTTTTGTTCCAATAAGTATAAGGAATGGGATTTTTAAATACTAAAATGATTCTTGAACAGGCATGTTCAATTAATAAAGTTCCTTGCAGCAACAAAAATGATTGTGAATTGTGATTTAAAAGGAGATTTTTGACAGGTTAGCTTTTGGCTTAGGTTTCTACCTCTTCCTTGCTTTTCATGATGAAGAACTGATGCACACTGAGGAGGAAAAAAATCTGTAGGTGTTCAGTTGTTCAGCCACATGGATGTATAAAATCCCCTAGGTTATTATAAATCTATACTAGAGTCTCATGTAAAATGCACAGGCATTGTGTAGCAACACCTATATTTAATCAATCCAAACTGATGTTTGAAACATTTAATTCAGTTCTAGGTTTTTTTTTTTTTGTGATAATTGTGATGGAAAATAATAATTTTAGGGTAGAAATACTGGCTTTGAGTATTGCTTTGTATAGCTGGCTTTAGACATTTGATTTGAGTTAGGCCAACTTCTAGTGCATGTACGAATTACATAAAGCCATGGACACTCAATTTCTTACTATGTGTATATTCAGAAAAGTGAAAATCCTGGCTAGATTAGTTCTGTTATCTAATTGCATCTGAGAGTAACAGAAGAAGTAATTTCACAGTTGTTTTGGAAGGTGCCCTCCAGGAATATGAGAAATAACGATACTAGATGATACTCAGGATGGGGCTTCAGCTTGCCCTAACTTCAGGGTGGGACTCAGGAATGGGTTTATAGACCCCTAAATTTAGGTATGTAGGATAAGATTAATAGCTCTTTAAAGCAGTTTCCTGTAATTGCTTGATTCAGTGTAGACTCCACTGATTATTAACTAACTCTCCCTTAGCTGTGATAAGAGCTTTGTCATCCAGGCCATCTAAAATGTAGACCCTTGCTTTCAGCTTTCTGACTCAGGTGCTGAATCAAGTACTTTTTGTTGAATATGTGTCTTTTGAAAGTGGTCATCTTGCGAGGGAGGAGGCTGCAGTAGGCAGATTTGCAGTCCTGGAAAGCCTACTGCAATTCTTAGTAATTAAAAATTGGCTGGAAATGAGACCTAATATTCCAGCCAATAACATTGATTACTAGGATTCTGGGTATGCTTGACAGAATGTCTAGTATCATAAATTTTTGCTGATATCCTGGTTTTAGTGGTGCTATAGACCACATAGACCATAGAGTCTGATTATTTATTCTGTGGAAAAACACTTAATTGGAGAGCCCCTAATGTGCTGGGCTTTAATTAAGTATTCTCACCTAGTGTTATGAGGCAAAGGCAGAAAAAACCCGTAAACTGTCTGTGTTTTATATTTTTAATTACCTCCTTTTGATTTGAGTCTTTTCTGAGGTAAATAATACTTCTAAACATTTTTCTGTACTTTTACCCGTTCTTGCTGTTCTTCTGACTGTTATTCTGCAGCATCATCTTGTAAGTGAGGTGACCAGTTTGGCACTCAGGAAGCACAAGTCACGGATATTTGGGACTATTTTCTAAATTAACGCTCACTTATATTCCTTATGGATCCCACATTTTTTCTGCTTTCTGCAGCAGCAATACATTTTGTGTTTTTTAATTGTCTATGATACTAAGATCCTTTTCCTGTTAATTTGGAGCTGTCTGTAATTCATATATACATCTATGCTTCTGTGGTTTTTCTCTGGTGTGTGGTTCTTTGTTTTTACAAACACTGAACTTTTTCAAGTCACTGTACTGTCTCTTGACCTTTCTTGGCCATCTCTGAAGTGCTTTGGTGATCAAGGTAGGGAATTAAGTAATCAAAATTTTGCGCTGTCTTTTTGTGTTCCCATGCCAGAACTTTACACTTCTCTTTTAGTTTAAGAATTGCACCAC